ATGCTGCTGCTGCTGATGATGATGATGATGATGCTGATGATGATGATGATGATGGTGGTGCTGGTGGCGGTGATGGAAAGAGGGAACATAAGTATGAGGAAGCTGATGGCAACGACGAAGGTGATGTCGATGACACGGATGAAGAGGAAGAGGAGAGGAGGAGGGAGAGGAGGAGAGGAGGGGATGCGCGGCGCTGCGAATTCACAACGAGGACCCAACTCACAGGAGGGTTGGAAAAAACACAATTCGAAGTCACTTCGGCCGACCCTCCGGCGTGTGGAAGACGCTGTGGAGGTTGAGGAAGAAGGAACAGGAACGTCGCAGCTAAGTCGAAGGGAAGCCCTCTCCCTGCCGGGGACGGGGGGGCGGTACGGCGGGGGGGGGTCCCCGGGGGGGCGGGGGGGGCGTCCGCAAGGGGAGGGGGTCCTGGGCCAGAGTGCCGACGCCCCCCCGGGGTCCCGCGGGTGTCGCCAACGGGGGTCCCGGGCGAGGTCCCGCCCTCGGGGTCGGCGGCACCAGCCGTGAGGCCGTCGCAGCCTGGGTCATGCGCGGACGCCCCACGATCACTTGGCAAAGGCTTTTGACAAGTGCGGCGGGGGGGCCGGCAGATTGCCTGCTGTGCGACGCCAACATCCCCCACCATCCCTTGCGAAAGCAATGCGAAGTGTGCTATGCATCACAATCTGGACCATGCGCGGACGCCCCGCGAGGACGGCGGGGGGGGGAGCATATTACATGCGTGCAGGCCCACCATCCTCCGCAAACATAAAAATAACAGGCTCGCATTGCAAAGGACAGCAGGAGGGGGAGCGGGTGCACACCCACACACCACACACAATACACAACGCTCGCAAACCCGCCGTCACTCTGCATAGGTTTTTGGCAGGGATGGTGGGCGGGTCGGCGTATTGCCCAACGTGGCGCACCCGATGCGCGTGGGGCACCTGGCATGGCCGGCGCCTGCACTGGCTCCCGACAGTTGTCAATGGCAGCCTCTGCGTGGTACCTCCTCTCCTGGTCGTTCTTCCTCTCCTGGCTTTGCTTCTACTGCCAGTGTAACTCTAACCGATACATCTAGCCTTGGCGCGAGACCTCCCCCCCGCAGCCCCGAAAACAATCAGATCGCACATGGGCGCCATCCCCCCCCCCCCCCAGGAGGAACCCCAGACGGATTCAGGGAGACCCCCCCCAGCCGACGCTTGACGTGTAAAAGGTCAAAATGCAGACCCCCTCCCCGCGGGTCCAGACGGGTTCGCGGAGACCCCCCCCCTGCGCGAGGGTTGGTATCCCAAGAATCAGAAAGCAGACCCCCCCCCGAAGCTCCAGACAGGTTCGCGGAGACTCCCCCCGGCCTGGCACCCCTCGACATCAAAGTCAGACCCGCTCCCCCCAGCCTCCAAGCCAGCCCAAATCAGACCCCCCCCTGTATTACGGAATGGAGAATCTGCTGAGGCCCGTGCTGGGCCTTCCGGTGGGGGGGGGGCGGGGGGGCGCTCACGGAGGATCCCCCTTCGTTGATCGATCGCCTCCCAGATGAACCCAAGGCGCCCCGAAGTGCTCCCAAGAAGGCCCCTAACGCCGCGCTCTCCCAGCTCCCCAGGGCATCGTTTCTGGATGGGCTGGTGGGGATTCGTGAAGGGTTAGGAATAACAATTGAGCGAACATATGCGAGATGACTCTTCGAACCACAACGCGCCAAATATTATAGGGGACCTACAGTAGGGGCCCGACCACAAGAAACCTTCCACAAGAAACACAACCCTGAGACCCCAGGACGCCCATTGATTTAGGTGTGGGAACGTCACGCTTCCCATCGCGAAACCATCGGAACCCAAGAAACCCAGGGCACCCTGGAAGCAAACAAACTGTTTCCTGGCATGGGCCTCCACTGTATCCGCAACCGTGCCGTGTGCACGCTCAGGCGTGAAGAACGCCAAAAGCTGTCTGGTAAGGTTTCTGTGCTCCGATGAATGACGCCACCCCCTTGCTCGCGACTTCTTCCGTGAATCACCGCCCCCTCCCGAAGCCACGATCCCTCGTAACACATGATGGATCCGCGGTCCCAAGGCCACGTTCCCTCGTAAACCCGATGGATCCGCATCCCGAGCCTCCAAGCAGGCCCACGCAGGCAACCGAAGACACCAACATGTTCCCCAACGCATCGAAACTGGCCCAGAATGGCCCCAAGGCGGTCCGATGTGGCATCAAGACGGCCCAAGATGCCTCCAAGAGGGCCCACATGGGCCACAAGAAAACCTCCAACAAGGTCCAAGCCAACGTCAACGATTTCCCGTCGGTTTTTGAAAGAATGTCGCATTCTTGCCGTTTCGGGTTTCCGTCAACTCAGGACGGCCCAAGAACCCCCCATGATGGCCCTAACACGGCCGCAGAGGCCCCCAAGAAGGTCCCAAGATGGCCCAAGCGGTCCCAGTATGGCCCAAGAGGTATCCAAAACGGCCCCAAAACTATCCAAGAGAGCTTTCTGTGGGACCCGGGACGGCCTTGGAAGGCCCTGCGGCTGCCCAAGACGGCTCCAGGCACCCACCATACGGCCAAGAGGGCTCCAAGACGACCCCTTCAGGACTGCCTCACATGAGGCCAGGACAGCCCCAAGACGACCCAACCGAATTTCACGAGAGCTCCTCAACTTGTGAAGACGAGGAAGATGTCAAATGTAACTGGTGACCATTCTCTTTCTTCGCCTCCTCGTCATCCTCCTCCTCCCCACCACCACCACCACCACCACCACCACCACCACCACCACCACCACCACCATCACCATCACCATCACCATCACCATCATCATCATCATCATCATCATCATCACCATCACCATCACCATCACCATCACCATCATCATCATCATCATCATCACCATCACCATCACCATCACCATCACCATCACCATCACCATCACCATCACCATCATCATCATCATCAGCATCACCACCACCATCATCATCATCATCATCATCATCATCATCATCGTCATCGTCATCGTCATCGTCATCGTCATCATCATAATCATCATCAGCAGCATGATCATCATCATCACCACCACCATCATCATCATCATCATCAACAACATCAGCATCATCATCATCGTCGTCATGGTCATCCTCGTGATCGTCATCGTCGTCATCATCATCATCATTATCGTGATCGGCATCGTCATCGTCGTCATCATCATCATCGCCACCGTATGAGCATCATCAATACCTTCACCCTCACCCTCACCCTCATCAACCTCCGCATCCTCGACCTCAATATCACCAGCAGTATCATCATCACCATCACCGCCACCATCATCACCATCAACACCAATCATCACCATCACCACCACCACAACCACCATCGCAATCACCATCACCATCACCACCACTACCATCACCACCACCATCACCATTACCATCGTCATCATCATCAGCATCAGCATCATCGTCATAACCACCATCAGCATCATCATCATGATCAACATCATCATCATAGTCATCATCGTAACCATCATCATCAGCATCATTATCACCATCCTCATCCTCATCCCCATCAGCATCACGATGATCATCATCGTCGTGATCGTCATCGCCATCGTCATCGTCACTATCACCATCACAAACATCATCAACACTACCATCGTCATCATCGCGGTCATCATACTCATCATCACCATCGTCATCATCAACATGATCAGCATAACCATCATCATCATCATCATCATCATCATCATCATCATCATCATCACTAGCATCACCATCATCATCACCACAACCACCAGCACCATGACCATCACCCTCACCCTCATCATTATCAACATCATCATCAGCATCAGCATCATCATCACCATTGTCATCATAATCAGCATGATGATCATCATCATTATCAACCTCACGAGTTTCATCATCACCATCGTTGCCAACGAAATAAAATAGCCAACAACAACCCCATCAACCTCATCATTGCCATCACCATGACCACCACTACCATCACCATCACCATCACTACCATCACAATCACTGTGACCGTGACCATGACCATCATCGTCATCATCATCATAATCATCATCGTCATCACCATCATCATTATCATCATTATCATCGTCATCATCATCATCGTCGTCATCATCATCAGCATCATCGTCATCATCGTCATCGCCATCATCATTATCATCATCACCATCGTCGTCGCCATCATCATCATCATCAGCAGCAGCAGAAGCAGCAGCAGCGTCATAATCATCATCATCATCGTCATCATCGTCAATACCATCATCAGAATCATCACCATCATCATTATCGTCGTCATCATCATCCTCATCCTCATCGTTATGATCCTCATTCTCCTCCGGACCCTCATCCTCATTACCGCTCTCCCAACCCTGGAGACACGAGGTGTCACACGTGACGGCCTGACGTGCCCTCTCGAAAAATCGCCACCTATAATGCTGGCCTTGCACGGTGGTGGGACTTGCCGCAAGCAACTGTGCCACTGGCCCAGCCACGCCATCTCGGAAGCCCGCGTGGTCTGATTCCATCGATGTCTTGACCAACGCTCCATATTTGCGGTGGTCTTGGGTATGAATCGTTGTTTCATTTCCTTTCTCGCGACAACTCGCCCTGGAGTCGTTTCACCACTGCTTGGAGGGGGCCCGCAAAGCCGCCATCCTCATCTGACTCGGGCCGCCACGGCTTGACGACCGCGGCGACTCTGCCTGCGCCCCCGCCCTCTGACGCGGTGCGCACCCCTGCGCGTGCTTGCCCCTAGCCCTGTGTCCCAGGAGAGCCCATAATCGAATGGACAAGTCGGATCGGCGATCGACATGAATCTGATCGGCGGAAATCGGCAACCTAGTCGGGAAAAATCGAATCGGCGAACATCGGCAGGCCAGTAGGCCGCCGTTGAGAAATCGGAATCCGAAGTCGAATCGGATCGGAATCGGAAGCCATCGAAATCGGATCGAATCGACCCGGAGGAATCAAAACGAACCTTGCTAGCCCCGTGTCCTTGGCGAAGACGAGCTTCCTGTGCTCGTGGCTCATGTAGCCTTTGACCTGGGGGCGGCTGGCACGCGTTCGCGAGCGGCCCCAGGCCCTCTGCTTGCGCGCGGGTTTGCGAGCAAACCTGCCTGAGCTCGGGGCAGCGCGTCGACAAGCACGCACACTGGCACGTACAAGCAGACAGCACACAGAGACCGAAGCATCATTGCCCCAAAGCGCAAGCGACGCTGTCTGGACCGTCGTCCAGACCAAACTGCAAGCTGGGCGTGGGCTCGACAGAATGACAGGCGGACGCACGCCGACGCAATGAAGTAAGGGCGCACACGCACACTTCACCTCCAGCGGCGCGGCGGCGACACCGTCGCGATGCGCCAAGCCTGGTCACGCTCAGGCGAATCGCCGCCTGGCGCAGCAGACAGGTGGGTGGACTAGATGGGGGCAGCCACTTGCAAGAGAACCGCAGGCGCGGATGTACGAGGAAAATGCCGAACCACATGTCATGCAAGAAAGCTTGCGCGCCCTCCCCCTCCACCCTTCGCGCGGCCGCCCCCGTCTTCGCCTCTCCCTCTTGCACGCCGGACAGTCTGCCCATCGGTTGCCCCCAGTGAACCCCACGCTGGTGCGGACCGCCTCTGCCTCGCCGCCGGCGAGACAAATCATGCAGGGAAGCGGCTTTCCCCGGACCGACGGGAGCGCGGCGGCGGGCAGACGCTGCAGATGCCTACGGAAACAAACAATGACACAAACAAACACAAAAACTTGGAGGACCGCGCGGATTTCTCGGACCGGCGTTTCGGTATCGTTTAACCAATCCCCATCCCCATCCCCATCCCCATCCCGTTCGAGACCCCCACCTAATCACCACCCCAGTTGGGGACACACCCCTCGAAACCCGAAGGGCACGACCTTTATCCCCATCCAGGGGGGTGAATCGACCAGGTGGGGCCCAGGCCACGCCGCTGGGCATGGGGATCGGGCAAACGAGACTCAGCGTTGGACCCCTCGGGGCGGCGCCCGCCGAGCGCCGCCAGGGGGCCTCCCCGAAGAGGTCCGCGCGGGCCTCCGAGATTCTGTGTCTGCGTCGTTGCTCGTTCCCCGGAGGGCACCCCCTGGCTCTGCACCGCGGGCGGGTGGCGGCACCCGAGCTCGTTTCTCACTTCTCAGGTGGCACCCGGGCCGGGACGCCCGATCCCTCGTTCCCCGCATGACACCCCCGCGCCAAGCAGGCCGGCGGTGCGGGCGGCGTGCGCGGCCTGGCTGTGAGCTGTGAGGGTGCGCCTCGCCCGGCAAACGAGGCGGGCTCGGGCTCGGGCGGAGCCACGGGGCGGAGAGACCGAGCACGACGGGCGGCGGGGGGCCGCGGCAAGCGCGGGGATGGCCCGTGAGCGATGCTGCGGTCAAGCCAGGGGATGTTGGCACGAGAGCGGCGTCGTCGTCCGCAGATGGATGAGAGACCAAAACCGAATCGACAAGTCGGATCGGCAATCGGATCAAATCGGACCAGGGAAAATCGGCAGCGGGAAACATCGAATCAGCGGAAATCGGCAAGCTTGTAGGCCTCCCACTGAGAAATCGGAACCCGAATCGGGGTCCAGAGTCAAAATCGAATCGGAATCGGAAACCATCGAAATCGAATCGGATCGAAGCGGAGGAATCGAATCGAGCCCTGCAGAGGGCTGGAAACTGCGGCAAGGGAAGCTGCGCCGACGGCGGAGGCGAAAAATGCTCAAAGCCGGCGACCCTCTCGGGCGAGGCAGCCCAGCAGGCGGCTTCGGCGTGTGCACCGCCACGCTGCTTGTCAGGCGACGCCGCGAAATCGGGGAGACCACGAAGCACCTGCAGCTCGTACCGCGCAGGGCCAAGGGAGGCATACAGTAGGGGCCCCTCCACAAGAAACCCAACCCTGATATCCTAGCGCGTCCATTGATTTTTGGTGTGGGCACTTCGCGCTTTCCACAGCAAAACCATCGAAATCCAAGAAACCCAGGGCACTCTGGAGGCGAGCAAGGTGTCTTGGCATGGGTCCCATTGTACCGCGCAGGGTCATGGGAGGCATCTTCCCCAGCGTGCTTGGGGTGGCGCTGAGCTGAGTACAGTCAACCCGTATCACAAGAACGCACGATAAGGATGCAGGGGCCTCGGAAGGCCACGTCGACACGGTGCGAGCGGGGCGCGGCCAGGAAAAGTGGCCAGGGATGGACCGATGAGGCAAGGATGCAAGGGGTAACCTTGGGAAGGTTACCCATCCTTACTATACGGGTTGACTGTAAGGTAGGGTACGCCCGTCCGACCGCGAGCGGCAGAAGTCGCGGCATTGATTACGCTGCACGGTGGAAGTGCGCTGCCAATAGTGCGCGCGCGCGTGCGTGCCACGAGCGCTGGCGAAGCCCAGCGCTGAGGGAAACGGAACGCTCGGAGGGACTGTGAAGGGGCCCGTGGCACGAGCTCGCGGGGATCTCGCGGCGCCCAGCCGAGTCCGCGCCAAAGCCTCAGACACAAAGACGCAGACGCAGACACAGAAACGCAGACGCAGACACAGACACGCAGACACGCAGACACGCAGAAACGCAGACACGCAGACGCACACGCAGACGCAGACAGAGACGCAGACGCAGACGCAGACGCAGACACAGACACAGACACAGAGACGCAGACGCAGACGCAGACGCAGACACAGACACAGACACAGACGCAGACACAGACACAGACACAGACACAGAGACGCAGACGCAGACACAGACACAGACGCAGACGCAGACGCAGACGCAGACTTAGACACAGACACAGACACAGACACAGACGCAGACGCAGACACAGACGCAGACGCAGACGCAGACACAGACACAGACGCAGACGCAGACGCAGACGCAGACGCAGACTTAGACACAGAAACAGACACAGACGCAGACGCAGACACGGACACAGACACAAACGCAAACACAGACACAGACGCAGACGCGCAGACGCAGACACAGAGACGCAGACACAGAGACGCAGACGCAGACGCAGACGCAGCCGCAGACGCAGACACAGGCACAGGCACAGACACAGACACAGACGCAGACGCAGACGCAGACGCAGACGCAGACGCAGACGCAGACGCAGACGCAGACGCAGACGCAGACGCAGACGCAGACGCAGACGCAGACACAGACACAGACACAGACGCAGACGCAGACGCAGACACAGACACACGCAGACACACACACACACATACAATTACACAAACAGTTACACACACTTACACACATACACACACACACGCGTGCACACTCACACACACACACACGCTTACACGCTTGCACGCTTGCACGCTTACACGCTTACTCGCTTACACACTTACACATAACACACACGCATGCACACGCACGCACGCACATGCATGCACGCGAGCACGCCACACAACCAACATGTGATATGGAGACGTGCCATAGACTCAAATCAACTGGTCAATTCCAAGCCATGGCCCGAAATGATATACATCCAGCGTAGCATGGGCTCGCTGCAACGAACAACCCTCAATGCAGAATTTCGACGCGAACGGCGACTCGCTCAAAGACATACGTAGAGCTCTGGCACTGGTCTCTACCGCTAGGAACAAGTCTAACATGGTCGACCGCGCCCTGATATATGAGGTTCGAGAGGACGCAGGCGGTCTCGTCCACGTCACAATCATCCTTGCACCAGTCTTCCGCTGCAGTGAAAATCGCGCTTGCAAAGAACGCGTCGAACATGGCATACCACAAACGCTGACTGCCCACATGTTAGCGGATGCGAAGCATGACTTGAGGCAAGGGCACGTTGCCCTGTGCGGGAGACCACGCGCTGCTTGCAACGATACATCCAGCTTGCGCGGCTGTCCGACCTGCCGCTCCTGGCCCATCGCTGCGATACACACATGGAAAGGCCGGCGCCGGCGTTCCTGCCACGCGAAGACGTGCTCGAAGGGGGTCAGGTCCAACTTCGTGGTTGCACTCTGCCCGAGCCTGGCAGTCCGGTGCCCCCAGCTGGCTAAGCTGATTACCTCGCGCGCTGTCCTCCACACACGAGCAAGCTGTTGAATGCTTTCTCCTTTGACGCAACGCACGCTGCTCAACGTGGAAGGGCATGCCATGAGGTAGCATGCGGCATCTGACCCTTCGGCAACAATGGCTGGATGCAATGGATCGCCTTCTTCTGATCTCTCCGTGGACTCCCTTGGTGAGGTTCCTGAGCAAGCGTAAATGCAACATGCATCACTCATGGGATGCTAACATGCGGTCCACGACGAATGGCCAGCTGCTTGCACGTTGTAGCGAGTGGTAGGGGGCTGACCGCGACTAGACGAAGAAGAGGAAGATGACGGATCGAGGAGAACAAACCAGAGTCATATTCCAAACGAAAAGCCCACATATACGGTCTTCAGGGCCAAACATATGTTCGCTTAACGCGCTGCCCTGCAACCGCTGATGAATGGTTTAATAACAAATTCAATTACATGTCGTCTCGCCTCGCCTCTAGATCCCACCAGCGCCTTGGTGCGGGTTGCTAAGCATGCAAGCCCCTCCCAAACAGCTCTCTTCCCCTTCCAGGGCCGTGGGTCGCTGTAGCATCCGAGATGGCCCAAGATGTCCCCGGCCCTGCGTGGCCGTGAGAGCCCCAAGAGGGCTTTGAGGTATACTCCGAGCCTTCAAACATGCGCACCGATAGATAGTTCTCTCCTCCTTTCTGGGCTTCCGATTAGCGGAGCCCTGAGAAGATGGTGTCACAAAGGCCCAAAGGCTTCCAAGTGGGCTCCAAAGGCTCCCCATGGGATCCCAAGCGAGCACAGATTTGGCTGAGAGAGGCCTCCAACAGAGACCACAATTGGCATTTTCTTGGAGCTGTTTGGGCCGATTCCCGATTTGATTTGAGTGGTGGCCCCATCGTTGTTTTGCTAATTATCCTTGGGTCCCCTTCTCACGACAACTCGCCTGACAGTCGCTTCCGAATCGGCTGGTGGAGATGCGTGAAAGGTCGGAGCGCAATGAATACACCGTGCGCCACCAATGAGAGGACTTACTTAGTGTGTTTACGGACATATGTATGTATACACAAGACTGCATCTGCGTTTCGCGCCGTGCACCTCGGTTCTTCTAGTTTCGCATGCAAGCAAGATACGATACATGTATATATAGAGATATAGCAATGGTGCATTTCAGTGGATGTAACGAATTATCGCAAAACCAAATCATAACGTTGATATTCCGCCGTTCAAAGAGAATGGACACAGTCCAGGCCACGACAATACGGGGCTCAAAAACCTGCACTCGTGGTTCGCGTTTATTTTTTGCATCTTCGGCGGCGGCCACCGATCGTGCCCAGCTTGGGCCCCGCGGACTTTGAGTGCCGTTCTTCCCCTATTCCTCGTTCTCCCCTTCCTTCTCGCCTTTCTTCCACTTCCTCGTTCTCGCCTGTCCCGTCCCTGTGAACCTTTCCCGTCCTCCTCAATTTTTCGCTCCTCTTGGGGGGGACTGAACGCCTCTCGGAAGCTTTTTGGGGGCCTCTCGGTGGCCTCACGAAGCCTTCTGCGAGCCTTTCGGGAGCCTCGGGGGGCTTCTTGGGAAGTCGTGCTGCCAACCGCGGTCTCCCTCAACGACTGGGCTTATTTAGTCTGGTTTGAAAAGCGTCGTGGGCCCATCTCTGCGCTTTCTTAGGGCCCTGCTGGGCCGTCTTGGGGCTCGGCCGGGCTGTTTTGAAGCTCTTTTGGCCCGTCCTGGGGGGCTCTGCGGATCGCACAAAAGCCTTCGGACAATATCTGCTTGCGGCGGGGGGTCCTCTGCGGGATCTCCTTTGCGTCGTATTGGGGCGTCTCCGAGGGTTCCGAAGCCACTTGGGACTGTCGCGAAGCCGTTAGGGCATCCTCCTGACCACTGTGGGCCCATCTTCGAGGCCCGCACATGGGCCGCCCTCGAGACCCGGACGCCACAAGAGAGACGGTCAGCAAGGGCGGCCAGGAAGTCCTGGAGGGGCCCAGGAACTATGATTCCTGAGGGGGCGCGTGCGTTTAATCAAACGTGTCGAAATACTACGAGCTTTGCATATGCTTGCACGCGCAAGACTCCCTTTTCCTATAGGTATGTATGTATGTATGTATGTATGTATGTATGTATGTATGTACGTACGTACGTACGTACGTACGTACGTACGTACGTACGGATGTATGTATTCGTATTTCAATATTTTTACAAGGCCTGGGAGCCCACACCCCAGCGCTCCCCCCCCCAAACGAATTTCGCTCCTGGGGCCTATCTTGCGCCTTGCTGTGGCCATCCTGGGGTCGTCTTGACGCCCCCCCGAGTCAAGCGATAGTGTACAATCCAGAAGGCCGAAAATATATTTTTTACAGCGTTTTCTCTGTTTTTCCTACTCTCAGGGCCCTGTTGCGCCAGCCTTGGGCCTCTCTGGGGCTCGTCTGGGGCCTCATCTGGAGCCGTCTTGGAGGCATCTGGACGCCTCAAGAGCCAATCGGAAGCGACAAGGCGAGAAGGCCAAACACTTTGTTTTTCCAATGATTTTTCTACATTTGTCCATTTCTGGGTTTTCTCTCTGGGCCCTATAGGGCCGGGGAGCGCCCCCCCCCCCCCCCGCCCTCCCCCAAAAGACTTTCGAATCCTCGGGCCTGTCTTGCGCCTCCCTGTGGCCCTCCTGGGGTCAGGACGCCCCCCGAGTCAACCGGAAGTGAAAAGCGAGAAGGCCGAAAACATTACTTTTCTACTGCGTTTTCTTTGCTTTTCCCACTCTCCGGGCCCTGTTGCGCCAGCCTTGGACCTCTTTGGGGCTCGTGAGGGGACTCTATTGGATACGTCTTGGAGCTGTCTCGACGCCTCAAGAGCCAATCGGGGGCGACAAGGCGAGAAGACCAAAAACCTAGTTTTTCCAATGATTCTCCTACATTTGGTCACTCTTGAGCACCACTCTCCGGGCCGAGTTGCGCCAGCCTTGATGCCCCCCGAGCCGATCGGAAGCGAAAAGGCGAGAAGGCCGAAAACATTGCTTTCCCAATGGTTTTAAAATTGATTGTCGAACCTCCCGGCGCTCTAGGGCTAGTCTGTGCCCTCTTTGGGGCTCGTCTGGGGACTCCTTTGGAGCCGTCCTGGGCCTATTTTGATGCTTCAAGAGCCACCTGGAAGCGACAAAGCGAGAAGGCCAAATACACGGATTTTCAAATGGATTTTCACAAATGCTTCATCATTTGGGCCCTCTTCGGCCAGCCTTGGGCCTCTGTGGGCCTCGGCTTGCGCCTCTCCGGGGCCATCCGGGGGCTATCTTGACGCCTCTCGAACCGACGCGAAGCGAAAAGGCGAGAAGGCCGAAAACATTGCTTTTCCAATGGGTGTTCTCTGATGTCCGAGTCTCTGGGCACTGTTGGGCCGCTCTGGGCCTCTTCGGGGCTCGTCTGGGGACTCATTTGGAGCCGTCCTGGGGCATCTTGACGCCTCCCGAACCGACCGGAAGCGAAAAGGCGAGAAGGCCAAAAACATGGATTTTCTTTGATTTTCACTGATGTTATATTTGTTGGGCTTTCTTGGGCCAGCTTTGAGCCTCTTTGGGGCTCGTCTGGGGACTCATTTGGAGCCGTCCTGAAGCTATCTTGACGCCTCCCGAGCCGACCAGAAGCGAACAGGCGAGAAGGCCAAAAACATTGCTTTTCCAATGGTTTTATTGACTTTAAATTCTTTGGGCCCTTTTCGGCCAGCCTTGGGCCTCTGTGGGCCTCGGCTTGCGCCTCTCTGGAGCCATCCTGGGGCTATCTTGACGCCTCCCGAGCCGATCGGAAGCGAAAAGGCGAGAAGGCCGAAAACATTGCTTTCCCAATTGTTTTTACTTGATTCTCGAATCTCTGAACCCTCTAGGGCCAGCGTGTGAAGAGGAGGGCCTCTGGAAGTCCCTGCCGAGCCGTGCAAACTGGTCGCTGGCGGTCCAAGGTGGCCTCCAGCGGCCCTGGACCCCTGCCAGACGCCCGAAGGCTGCGCAAATAATCACCCCCGAGAGGCTTTCGAAACGCGCCAAGAAGGCACCAAGAGGCCCTCAAGACGCTCCAAGAGGGCTCCGAATCGCCGGGCGATCGCTCCAGGACGCCCAAGATGTCCCCAAGAGCCTTCCCAAGAGGGTCCCCAGAGGCCGCAATCATTGCATTTCCGTTGTTTTTTCAATGTTTGTGGGGTCCTCGACTTTTCGAGCTTCCGACGCTCCAAGACGGCCTAAGAGGCCCCCAAGACCGCCCCGAGACGGCCCAAGAGTCCCCCAAGAGGAATCCCAGACTGCCCAAGAGGGATCCAAGACAGCCCCAGGAAGGGCCCACGAGGGGAACACGGACCGAAAATTCGAGTCTCCCGCCCCAAGAGGCCCCAGGAGGTCACAAGGAGGCCCCAGGAGGCACCCAAGACGCTCCAAGAAACTTCAACACGGCCCCCAAGAGGCCTCGAAACGGCCCCAATAGGCCCCCGAGAGGCCTTTCCCCCAGCAGCGCTCGAAAGTGGCGACAGGATCACAATTCGCACCCCCCCAGAGATGGCGAGGCCCCGCTCTGATCTGCGCCAAGCTGCCCACCCACCCACCCCAGCAGCCCTCGAAAGCGGCGACAGTCTTGCAAAGCGCAGTTCCCCAGGGATGGCGAAGACCATATATATATATATGTATATATATATATATATACATATACACACAAGATTGTACTGGCTCGCTGCGCTTCGCCTTTCAAAATCTTGGTCGCATGGCGCCAGAGAGGCGCGATGAGATCGGTTGTCGTCACAGCCGCGGTGTGTTCTGGCCATGGAGACCATGGAACAAACAGGGCTGATAGGACCCAGGGAATATTGCGGCTCAAAGAGCTCAGAAGGGGTCTCTGCCGACATGGGGCCCAAGGGCTCGGAGCTCCCATTTTAGGCGAGGGGTGATGCTGCCGATGCGGCTCCACGGGGTCATGAGACTCACAGGGTTCACAGGGCTCATGGGGTTCGTTGAGGTAATGGGACTGTTTGTGGACATCGGGCACGGGGCTCATAATGCTGAGTGGCTTTTACAGAGGTCATGGGGGTCATAGGAGGCTCACGGTGCTTATAAGGGTCCTGGGGCTCCCTGGAGTCATCAGCTCTTGGGGGGCCATATGGCCCCATAGCGCTACAGAGCGCGTAGGCCTCGTAGGGCTCATGGGGCCGATTGGGGTGAAGGGGCAAGTAGGGGCCATA